GAGAGAAGCTAGGTCTCAGCCCCACTCCGGGAGCTCGGTAACAAGGCGGCGGCTGCCTCCTGAGCTTCCAGCCCACAGACTGAGGGGGAATCGAGTGGCTGATCAGAGAGGGATTGCAGGGATCTCTCTGCTGGTGCAGGATTTTCCTGCTTTGCCTGTGTTTGGATCTGGGTCACAGTTCTGGGTGACAGTCCCAGGTGACAGTCCCAGGGCAAGGAGGAGCGCTGGCTTGGTGGAACTGGTAGTGGCTGTAGAGAGGAAATCCTCACAGTTCCAAGACAGAAAAGACTACTTGTGGTCACTCATAGACTAGGGCACAGACCAGGAAAGGAGTAAACATCTCACCCCTTATCATACCACCTTGGGAAAACTGAAAATTTGCAGGTCCCTAGAAGTATCTCTGAAAACAGCTGTACAAACCCCTGAAGCTTGGGACAGTACATTCTCCACACTGGAAGCAGACTCTTACCTTAACAAAGAGTTTAAAACTCAAGTAATTGGCTGGGATCATGAGCAAACCTCACAAAAAGAGTCAGACTATATTATCTTACTTTGGTGACAAAGAAGATCAAAACATACAACCAGAAGAAGACAACAAAGTCAAAGCTCCTACATCCAAAGCCTCCAAGAAAAATATGAATCAGTCCCAGGCCTTGGAAGAGCTCAAAAGGGATTTTGAGAAGCAAGTAAGAGAAGTAGAGGAAAAACTGGGAAGAGAAATGAGAGTGATGCAAGAAAATCATGAAAAACAAGTCAACAGCTTGCAAAAGAGACCCAAAAAATACTGAAGAAAATAACACCTTAAAAAATAGCCTAACCCAAATGGCAAAAGAGGTCCAAAAGCCAATGAGGAAAGATGCCCTAAAAAAAATTGGCCAAATGGAAAAGGAAGTCCAAAAGCTTACTGAAGAAAATACTTCCTTAAAAATTAGAATAGAGCAATTGGAAGCTAGTGACTTTATGAGAAATCAAGACACTGTAAAACAAATCCAAAAGAATGAAAAATTAGAAACAATGTGAAATATCTCATTGGAAAAACAACTGACCTGGAAAATAGATCCAGGAGAAAGAATTTAAAAATTATTGGACTATCTGAAAGCCGTGATCAAAAAAAAAGCCTAGACATCATCTTTCAAGAAATTATCAAGGAAAACTGTCCTGATATTTTAGAACCAGAGGGCAAAAAGAAATTGACAGAATCCACAGATCTCCTCCTGAAAGAGGTCCCCAAAGGAAAACTCCTAGGAATATTGTAGCCAAATTCCAGAGTTCCCAGTTCAAAGAGAAGAAAGAAACAACCAGAAAGAAAAGATTCAACTATTGTGTAAACACAATCAGGATAACACAAGATTTAGCAGCTTCTACATTAAGGGACCGCAGGGCATGGAATATAATATTCTGGAGGGCAAAGGAGCTAGGATTACAACCAAGAATCACCTACCCAGCAAAACTGAGTATAATCCTTCAGGGGAAAAAATGGTCATTCAGTGAAATAGAGGACTTTCAAGCATTCTTGATGAAGAGACCAGAGCTAAACAGAAAATTTGACTTTTGAATACAAAACTCAAGTGGAACATGAAGAGCTCTGCCTGATTTCAGCTCTACAACAAGATGCTCCACACAAGATATGCTCATCGCTTCTAACCTCAACACCGTAACTGCTAACTCAGGCTTGGATACCACCATGCTCACCCTCCTCTCCCCTCTCATTGGAGGGCTTGAGGGTGGAGTACTGAACTCGTCCCAAAACCTTACTTTATAGAAGGCGGAAACTGGAATTCCAGCTCACTCCACTTCATATCTGCAGCTCTGCCTGATTTGTCTCCCCTCCCCCCACTCTGCCCCCCCACACACACATTCTTTCCAGTTTCTATTTGTGTATTGTCCTCCTCTATTAGATAGTAAGTTCCTTGAAGGCAAGGATTGTCCTTCTTTTTCTTATTTGTATAGTGCCTGGTCCTTAGAAGGCACTTAATAAATGTTTATTTAATTGAATTGAAAAAATATAAAGAATATTGCATTCCATTCTAGGGGCCACATCTTAGGAAAGATATCTTCAATAAGCTGATGGGAAAGCTACTGAGCTCAGAAAAGAATATGAAGCTGAGGAGAATTCAGAGACAATGGCCAGGATGATGAAAGGACTCAAGATGATACCAAATGAGAAGTGTTTGAAGAAACTAGGTATGGTTAGCCTGGAGAAGGAAAGATTTATGGGAGACATCACAGCTGTTTAAAGTATTTGAAGAATTATCAAATGGAACAGGGATTAGTCCCAGATAGCAAAACTAGGAGCAGTAATGAGAAGTCGAAAGGTCAGGGGATTTGCAGAGGAAAATTTAGACTTGTTGTAAAGAAACACTTACTAAAAATTGTTACTTTCCCAAAATGGAAAGGGCTGCCTGAGGAGGTAGTGAGCTCCCCATCAATGAAGGGAGGGTGTGGAGTGGAAGCAAAGACTGGATGAATACTTATTAGACATGATGTAAAAGGGATTCTTGGTCTTGTATGAGCTAGAGTAGGAGATATTTCTAAACCTGATCTTTCCAGTAGTGTTTCTTTTTGTTTTTTTGTATTTGTCCAAGTGCCTGACACATTTAGTTTAGCCATTTTTCAGTTGTGTCTGACTCATCATGACCCCACTTGGAGTTTTCTGGGCAGAGATACGGGAGAGGTTTGCCATTTCCTTCTCCAGCTCATTTTGCAGAAGAGGAAACTGAGGCAAACAGGGTTAAGTGACTTGCCCAGGATCACATAGCTAGTAAGTGTCTGAGGCAGGACTTGACTCAGAAAGAGGAGTCATCCAGACTTCAAGCCTGACACTCCATCCACTGTACCACCTAGTTACTCCAGGAGATAGTTAACAATATTTTTTGATTGTTGAGATGATCATAGCTATAGAACTAGAAAAGAGTTCAGGTCATCTGGTCCAACCTCTTATTTTACCAAGAAGTAAGTTAAGGGCTAAGGATATGGTTATCCTTATATACATATCCTAAGGATACGTATAAAGATAAGATAAGGGCCAAGGTCACACTAGTACTAATTCAGTAGAGGTAGGATTTGAACCCAGGACCTCTACCTCCAGAGTCAGAACTCTTTCCACTGTACTACATTAGATCAGATCATGTTTCTTATCTCCTCAAAATCTTCAATGTCTCCCTATTCTCCTAAGTAAAGTTTAGACTCTTCTGTCTGACATTCAAGGCCTCCTTCAATCTACCACAACCCTAACTTTTCAGCCATATCTCATGACTCCTTTCCTCATACTGTACAATCTAGTCAAACCAGACCCTCAAAACAAGTCTTGCATTCTCCTGGCTCTGCAACTTTGTTCATGTTGCTTCTGTGCCTGGAATGTTCTCTTTCCCCCTATTAAATATTTGCCCATCCTTTCAAGATCAACCCAAATGTCACTTCCTCTGGGAAGCCTTCTCTGATTCCCCCTCTCAAGAATGAACTTTACCTGCTGCTTTCACATAACACTGTATCTGTGCCTCTCTGATGCTCTGATCAGATGTCAGAGCAATATATCTGTAGGTGTCTTATCTCCCTCCTGGACGATAACCTCCATGAAGGCAGGAATCAATCAACCAGTCAGCAAAGAAGTAAGAAGCACCTGCTCTGTGTCCAGCATCCTGCTAGGTCCTGGGGGATGCAAAGACCCATGATGAAGCAATCCCTGCTTTTAAGGAGTTTACAATCTATCAGGAGAGATGATGTGTGCATCTCTGAGCACCACCAATTAAATCTAGGGGACAGGCACTGGGCCTGTGATTTTATTACCATATAGAGAGATCCCAAAGGAGGAAATTCCCTTTACTGTGCAAGTCAACACCTTCTCTACAATTTATATAGTCTTAGAGAGTTACCTAGATCACTGAGAAATTAAACGATTTGGCCAGGGTCACACATTCAACACATATAAGAAATAGGACTTGAAGGGGCAGCTAGGTGGTGCAATGGATAGAGCTCTGGACTTGGAGTCAGGGGGACCTGAGTTCAAATTTGGCCTCAGACACCTGACATTTACTAGCTGTATAACCCTGGGCAAGTCACTTAACCCCATTGCCTAGCCAAAAAGCAAAAAAGAAAAAAGAAATAGGACTTGAACCCAGCTCTTTCTGACCTTGAGGTCAGCCCTGTAACTGCTATAGAATACTGGCATTCATACAAATTAAATAGAAAATAAATACCAGGTAGTTATGAGGGAGGGAGGGTACCAACAGTCGTGGAGATCAGAAAAGGCTTCATGTAGAAGATGGTGGTTCGGCCTTGAAGGAAGTGAGGAATTCTAGAAGAGAGAGGTGAAGAGGGATTGCCCTTTAGGCATGGGGGATGGCCAGCAAAAAGGTCATGGGCGATGGAGTGCCATGTGGGACGAACAGAGCCTTGGTTGTGGACAGAGCCCAGACATACATTGTGGCTGGACTGAAACATCTGGGAAGGGGGCATAACATAGAAATGAGGTTGGAAATAAAAGCTAGAGGCAAGTTGCAAAGGACTTCACAAGACACAGACATCTCTATTATATTGTAATGGCAATCAATAATCCCTAAAGTTGATTGAGTGGGTCAGATCTAGGCTTAAAGGAAATCCCTTGGCGCCTTATGGAGGATGGACTGGGGTGGGGAGGCGTAAAGCAGAGAGGCCAATTAGAAGGCCATTGCAATAGTGCCAGGTAGGTAATTCCCAGGGAGGGATCTTATCTAGATTTCAAAGCTCAACATTCTGTACAAAGTAGGTGCTAAATATATTTGGTTGATTGAATTCCTAGTTTGGGGCTCCCAGTCCCTCTTAAGGGTTTCTAGAAAATGTTCACTTGTTCTCAGAAAGTTCTCAGTCCATTAAACAGTAATCAACTGAAGGTCAGGGCAAGACCCTTGTCAGGAACTGTGACCTTCCCCAAGTGTGATCTCAGCTTTGGCTCAGACCCCAGGTTGAGACACCCATCTATAAGAACCCTCCCAACTGGCCACATCAGTCCACTGACTGCCTACGCGGGCACCATGTTAGGCTCTGTCCTCCTAATTGCGTTCCTGAGCTATGGTAAACTGAGAGCCAGAGAGCTCCACAGATCCATCCCAGACAGTTAATCTCTATCTTTCAGTTTAGTACTTTCTGCTTAGAAAGGTCCAGTGGGGTAAAGAGTCAGGCCACATCCACACCAACTATCCCGGGGCCCCCACTGCTGACATGGTTCATATAGGCTTGTCTGGTCTCCCTTCCAGCCTCCAGCTGTGGCGTCCCCACCTATCCACCCAACGTGGCCTCCCGGGTGGTGGGAGGAGAAGACGTCAAGGCCCATAGCTGGCCCTGGCAGGTAAGGAAGGCATGTGTGGTATGGTAGACAGAATAGCATTCTTACTCTTTCATGGTGAGGCATTATGTAAGTGTAAGTTGTTGAGGATGTCTCAGGCCTATCCCAACAGAGAGAGACTGACAATGTGGTTCAGTAGAAAAGAGTGGGGTGTAATCCAAGAGTGCTAGGATCAGAGAAAAACAGTTTTGAGATAAATTCTGGACCTGCCAATACATCGGCAGTAGCTAATTTTTTTTCAAGTTGCTTTACTCCTCTGGTCATCAGATTTTCTTATTTGTAAAATGAGAAAGTTAGACCAGATGCCCTTTGGGGTTCCTTTCTCCAAATCTATGATCTAGACTTGTGGAGGCTTTTTAAGTTAGAGCAGCAGCTGGGAATCCTGGGCCAAATGCCCTGCCTGAGTTTTACCCCTCTCTCACCACTCCTCCTGGTTGGTAGGTCTCCCTCCAGTACCTTAAGGATGACACCTACAGACACACCTGTGGAGGGACCCTGATCTCCAGCCAGCATGTCCTGACTGCTGCCCATTGCATCAGGTGAGCCCCCTCCCCCCCACCCCGAGCCGTGGATCTTACTGCACAGAAGCAGGATACTGGGGGTCTGTCTCTCTTCCCTCCATCCACAATGGGATCTGAAAGCTGCCTAGACATCATTTACAAAAGAAACAACAACACAGACCCCCAGAGCCGGACAAAAACTTCAAGTCCTCCTGCTCCAACCTGTTTCCAGACACAAAGATCTCCTCTGCAACATCCTCAGCAGGTGCTCAGTCCAGGCTTATCACAAGTCCTAAGACGGGATAGTGACTCCTCCAAAGGTTCCCAGCATTTCTACCCACAGCAGCAGATTCTTTGCCGCTACAAAATAACGTTCTTCCACTAGAATGTAGACATGCTTGCTGGACTTGTATCCCCAGCTTCTAGTTCAGTGCCTAGAATTTTGTCAATTCTTAATCATTGCTTTATCTACCTATTTAGATTCATTTATCTATCTATTAATAGCATCTATCTACCTTTTCCTTATGTACCTATCTACTTATCAACATCTATCTATCCATCCATCCATCTAGCTACCATCTGTTGGTGAGAATCAGATTCTGAAAACATGGATGGGTGGATGCATGTCAGAGGAATAATGTATGGATAGATAGACACAGGAAGGTATATATAATAGAGATCAGAAGGTGGATAGGTATAGATGAGAGAGAGAGAGATAAAATGGTGATTAAGAATTGACAAAATTCAAAGTGAGAAACTGCTAAGCAGCAGGGAAAAAACATAAGCAAGCAAAAATGGAATTTCCCCTTTGGAAACAAATTAGTTTGAAGGATGAAATTATCATTGAGTCAAGTGAAAAAATGTACCAGCTGGGGCAGCTAGGTGGTGCAGTGGATAGAGCACCATCCCTGAAGTCAGGAGGACCTGAGTTCAAATCCAGCCTCAGACCAAACACTTGATGCGTACTAGCTGTGTGACCCTGGGCAAGTCACTTAACCCCAACTGCCTTTAAAAAAAAATGTACCAGCTATTATACTTTTGGAAAAATCAGAGCTCCAGCAAATGTCTGGATAATGGAAGTGCCTTACGATGACTCACAGTCTCCCATCTCTGCGGGGGGTTGGAGATAATGTTTCCCAGACTCCTCATCCAGTTCTGCTTTCTGCCTAGGTGGTCTATAGCATAGCCCAAAGACTGATCCCATAGTCTCCCAGCTAATGATGTATAGTAATCAGGATTTAAACCTGACTTCAAGTATTGTATGCTTCTCAGGAGAGCATGATGTTATTAAGCCCAAATCTACCTTCCATAGACTCTATATATTGGTCTTAGTTTTCTCAGGATCTAAATTGACTCCTTCTTTCCTTACAGCATTCCAGACATTTTCTTCTCTCAGAGTTCAGTGAGGGTGATAGGGAGAGGCTTGTGGAATAAACATTTGCTGAATTGAATTAAAGGTTTATGGTCCATGAAGGGGCCAAGGCCCAAATGTAACCAGATTCCCCCTCCCCATTGCCTTTGTCCAGCAATAGCAGAACCTACCGCGTGTTGCTAGGCAAGAATAACCTGGAGGTGGAGGAAGAGGATGGTTCTGTGGCAGTGGCTGTGGATACCATTTTTGTCCATGAGAAATGGAACTCCCTCCTGTGCGGTGAGTGGTCTCCATGCTGGCACCTTTGTCCTGTTGGACATGGAGCCAGCCCTCAGGGCTAGGGCCAGAAAGCTGGCCTCCACTGTCTCATCCATCTCCAATGATACCAACTCTGACGAGGTGCTGGACATTGTAACAACTCCAGTCCTCTCCCACCTACTAAAATGTTCTCCCCACTACAGCTCTCTCTTAGAATAGTAATAGCACTTTTTCATATGAGGCACTAAGATTTATACAGAGCTCTCCCTTCTGGACCCTTCAGAGATAAGTCAAGCAGGGATTCTTGGCTCCTTTTATAGATGAGGAAGCAGAGGCACAAAGATCTGTGGTCACATAGCAAGTCAGTGGCCACGTTAGATGAGCCTTGTGTGTCCTAACCCAGGGCTCTTTCATCCTGGATAGGGAGAGAAGCAGGAGAGGTTCTCACCATCTTTCCCCCTCCACTCTCCTTCGTCCAACAGGAGGTTTCATGATGCCAATTTCCTTACTGTCCCTGTAGAAGGTAAGTTGCTTGAGGGCAGGGACTAAGACACTTTATTTTATTTTATTTTTTGTTGAGGCAATCAGGGTTAAGTAACTTGCCCAAGGTCACATAGCTAGTGAGTGTTATGTGTCTGAGGCCAGATTTGAACTCAGGTCCTCCTGACTCCAGGGCCAGTACTCTATCCACTGTGCCACCTAGCTGCTGCTGGGTCTACATTTTTCAGTTCTCCATCCCACTATCCTAGAGTTAGCTAGGTGGGGCAGTAGAGACAGCATCAGGCCTGGAGTCGGGAAGATCTGAGTTCAAATATGGCCTCAGACTCTTACTACCTGTGTGACCCGGGGCAAGTCATTTCACCCTGTTCGCCTCAATTTCCTCATCTGTAAAAAGAGCTGGAGAAGGAAATGACAAACAACTCTAGCATTCTTGCCAAGAAAACCCCATGGAAAAAGACTGTCAGATCACCAAGAGTCAGACACAACAGAATAATTAAACAACAAATTCCCTATATTAAGCCCAGGGCCCCTGCACACAGTGCTTAATCCATATGTCTAGAGTTGGGTTCATGAATTCTGCTCCTAGCAATGACATCGCCCTCATCAAGTTGGCTGAGCCTGTGGAACTGAGTGACACCATCCAGGTGGCCTGTCTGCCCCCAGAGGACTCCCTACTGCCCCAAGACTATCCTTGTTATGTGACTGGCTGGGGCCTCCTCTGGAGTAAGTGCATGGCCTGCAAGGTCCCTTTGAGTCATCTTTTGGGGGAGGGAAGGGGCACCTATCCTCAAACTGCACCACTGGACAGTCAAGCTGTAATGCCAAACTGTTGGAGCCCAAGGAAGTCATCTGGCCTAGCCAATCAGGGCAGGCTTCCTGGAGGAGGAAGCCCTTTTTGTACATAGTAATTGTGCTAGCTTCAAAGCTCCTTTGCCTCTATCATCTTGATTTATTTGCCTAGCATCCCTGAGAAATACAAATATTACTGATACAGTTATCTGGGTAAGGAAACTGAGACCCAGGGCAGTTAAATCATGTACCCAGGATCTCACACAAATCAATCAGGGAAAGGGCTCAAAGCCAAGGACTTCACTGAAAGCTGAATATGGAAGACCAGCAGGACAGTGGCTTGTTCCACAGCTAATCCTCCCTGAACTCTGCCGGGTGGCAAGGACTCCAGACCCCCTTCTCACCACCGACCACTCTTTAGTCTGGTTGTGTCCATTCTAAAACAGTCTTTGACACAAAGACTAGAGACACAGTCCAGCCACGTCAGAGAATAGTGTGACTCCTAACAGTGTGATCCATGAGCAACCTTTTCAGCCTCACATTCTTCATCTGTAAAATGAAGAGTTTTCTCAAAATGATAACTAAGGATCTTTTCCACTCTGATTTCTCTGTTTTATAGTCTCTCTGGCTTCAAAATTCTTTTTTCTAAGATCTCTCCCACCTCTGACATTTTGTGTTCTAAGGGCTCTCCCAGCTCTGACATTCCCTGTTCTAACCACCCTCTCAGCTCTGACATCACTTGTTCTAAGGCCCCGTCCAGCTCTGACATTTTCCCTATCATTTCCTGCAATGGATATTGGGCTTCCGTTAACCTAGAAAGAATAAGATAACCTAAGTTCTGAAATCCCCCTCACAAGTGATACACATCCTCACACCATATACAATTTCTTTGAATTTGGGTAGGCCTACTATGTTGGAGCACCAGTTATCTTTCTGACAGCTCCATAAGAGGCTGGGGCAGATGGGTTGGGGGGCCATGGGAAAAGAACCCAATTATGACTTGTTCTCTCTTTCCCTAGCCGATGGCCCCCTTTCTGATGTTCTCCAGCAAGCCCTACTGCCCATAGTGGACCATGACACGTGCAGTCGTTTCGACTGGTGGAGCATCATGGTGTCCGAAAAGATGGTGTGTGCTGGAGGAGATGGTGTCCTCTCAGCATGCAATGTGAGTTGTATTACTGAACAGCAAGCCAGGGATGAAAGATCCAGGGCCTTCTGGGAGAGATTGCTGCAGATTCAGAGAGCTTTTGACTTCTTGACACCTTCACGGGGAGACCTCCTAGGAAGCCCTTTCCCAGAGTGGCCTGAGGCCACAGATACTGCTTCATCTGCCATAATCAAGCTTGATAAACACTAGTCCATCCTGCTCCTCTCTGCTTCCCAACATTATCACTGACTGTTCCTTTGGCAAAATTAATCATTCACACCCATCCCCTCTCTACCCCCACAAATAGACACACACTATCCCCACCATCATGGTAGTGTAGAAAAAGTGTTTTGCAAACCATATAACACAAAGGCAATGCAAGATATTGCATTTCTTACCCCATCAGTAACACCTCCATCATTTTTAGCATCATTACCAACACCAACCACCATCCTCATCACTACCAGCATCACTAGCTTCATTACCATCAGCCCTACCCACACCACCAGCTCTACATTGCCATCACAGGGGGAGGGGAGAAAGGATAATTGTTCAAATAGTGCCTACAGGGTGCAAGGTACTGGACTGAGTGCTTTACAAATATCGCATTTGATCACCATCTCCATCATCACCTTCTCAGCCACCACCATCATCTTTATCACCACCAACCGCCATCTCCAGCGTCATCATCAATCCTACCAGCAACACCAATATCTGAAAACTGAGCTGCTAAAAGAGGCAATACCTGATCTTTTTCTGTCTCGGAATAGTATTCTACATTTCAGAGATGCTGGCTGAGATAGAGTGGTTGGAGAAACCAAGGCACGTAGAAAGGCGCGAATTACCCAAGGTCGCATAAAAAGCAAGTCCATGTCAGGATAGCTACAGTTGCCTCATGATGGAAGGAATAGAAACTTTCTCTTGGTGGCTCTGAGTTGACTAGTGACCAATGCTCATATTTGTTGGGGACAGGGAGACTCAGGTGGACCTCTGAACTGTGAGGCTGAAGACGGAGCCTGGGAAGTGAGAGGTATTGTGAGTTTTGGTTCTAGCTTGGGCTGTAACACAGCCAAGAAGCCCACAGTCTTCACCCGGGTCTCTGCATACATTGACTGGATTAATGAGGTACATTCATTCATTTAATCATTCATTCATATATCTATCCATTCGTTTATCCATACAGCAGCAACAATAAAAAGCCAAACTGAGTGAGGGGGATGGAGGCTCTCTTAGGGCATGGGAGGGGTTGGGGGAGGGCCAGATTGAGGTTCAAGGAAGGAGTATGGAACTCAGTGAGGAGGATGGGGACTTAGCCGTGGGGATAGGAAACTCATTGAGGGTCCTTGGGGCTCAGTGAGGGCATAAGCGCTTGGGGTAAGAATAAAGGCTCAGTGAGGCAATGTGGCCTCAAAAAAGAATGTGAGGGGCTCAGTGAATGGGATGAGATCTTTAAAAATGCATGGAGACTCAGTGAGGGGAAGAAATGGCTCTGAGGGAGGATCAAGGGAGGAATCCAGGTCACAATGAATGTAGGGGGTGGTGTCAGTGTCTAGAACTAGAGCCTAGGGAGGGGATAGGGCCTAAGTGTAAAATGAGGGACTCAGTGAGGGACTGGGATTCAGTAAAGACTTGGGGACTCATTATAAGGATCTGGGTTCAATGAGGACATGAAAGCTCAGTGAGCCAATGAGGGCTCAGTAAGAAGATGGGGGCTCAGGGAGGGGGATATGGGGTTTAGGGAGACACAGGAAAGGGGCTCTGGGTTCAGGAAAAGATAAGAGCCAAGTGAAGAGCTGGAAAGTTCAGTGAGGGGGATGGGGAAGTCAGGGACTTGAAGGAAGGGACCAGTGACATTCAGCCAATGAGATGACCCAGAATAGGACCAAAGCTCAGGCCTTCTGAGTCCTGGGCTGAAGGCTTCTGGGCCCCATGAAGAGGCCCCAAGGCAGTCAAAGTCTTCAAATTATTCTCTGTTCCTCCAGAAAATACTGCTCTGAACAATCACCAGCCTCTCTACTGGGAACCCCCTGGATACTTCACAATCAACCCGCCCATTTAGCGCTATCTTGGATTTTCAATAAAGTCTCCTCTCCTGTCTGTACACTTGGTTACTGAGTTGTCTGGATGGCTTCCCTCAGTTTCCCCTGACAGCCCCTAGGGCCAGGGCTCTCTGATGGGGCCTGTTCACTCCCTAGAATACAGTCCCCTTCCTACAATAACAGTTCAGAAGGATTAATAAGCTTGATAGGATTTAGGGCCTGGAGGGGACCTTCATCCTCACCTAGCCTAGACTACATGAGGAAACTGAGACCCACAGAGGGAGGTGACCAATTCCTGTAGGATTCTGTATAAGCTGCTCTTCATGCCTCGGCCCCTTCCTAAATTTTCAGCCTTCTAATACTTTACTCCCCCCTTGGCACTCTATGTTACATGGACACTGGCCTTCTTGCAGTGCTTCAAACTAACATCCCCCACCTCTGCATCTTTGAGCTAGGTGACCCCCACACCAGGAATACGCTTTTCTTCCTCACCTCTGTCTCATCATCCTTAAATCCCAGCTCAAATCCCACCTTCCACCCCCGCTGCTAGTGCCTTTCTCTGATATAATATAACATTACTCTACTTGTCTTTTATAGATCTAGTTACTGGTATGTTGTTTCTACACTAGAACAAGAGCTCACTGAGGGCAGGGATTGGTTTTTCTTATTTTCTGTATCCTTAGCACTTAGGATAGCCCCTGGCATAAATGCTTGTGGATTTATTAACTGACTGACTAATAAACTGTTCAAAGTCACGAGCATCAGAACTGAGATTCACACCCAGGCCTCCGTCTCCAAATCTCTTGCTCTTTCTATAAAAACTGTGCTGTCAGCTCCCTGCTAGGCTCATGATGGCCCAGGCAGCCCTAGCGGTTTGGGAGGATCCCTGGGCAAAGTCAGGTAAGAAGGGGTGGTGATGGTGGTTTTGGTGGTGATGGTGGTAGTGGTATATACCAAGGATAAGCTGTCCCCAGGCCTGATTTTTATGCAGTCATCTCAGTTGTGTCTGACTCTTTCTCACTCCATTTGGGGTTTTCTTGGCAAAGATACTGGTGGGATTTACCATTTCCTCCTCCAGCTCATTTTACAGATGAGGAAACTGAGGCAAACCGGGTGAAGTGATTTGCCCAGGGTCACAAAGCTAATAAATGTTTGAGGCCAGATTTGAATTCAGGAAGATGAATCTTCCTGCCAGGCCTGGTACTCTATACACTGTACCACCTAGCTGACAGGAAGTCAACAGCACTAATAGCCATCACCCCCAATTCTCTGAGCTTCAAGGTACACAAATAGCTTTCCACATTAGCACCCCATGAGGTGGAATTACAAATGCTATCACACCCATTTTATAGATCAAGAAACTGAGGCTCAGTTTCTGGGTGCTCAAGGTCATTCACTTAGGAAGTATCAGAGGCAATCGACTGGCTCCAAGTTCAGTGTTCTTTGCTGCCTCTAAATACACATAAGATAATTAACAACGCAATATTGATTGTATTATCCTTAAAAGAGATTTAACTTATTTTATTAATCATTTTAAGTAATTGATAGATTATCATTTATTTCAGCCATGTTTATTTCAACTAAAACCAGTTACAGAAGACTCAATGATACAGACAAAACCTTTCCCATAGTTGTTTAAAGAAAGAAGAGATCACTCTAGTTACAGTAGTCAAGGCAGGCTTCTTGGAGGATGTAGGGCTCAAACCAGGCCATCCCCACCCCCACACCCCAGCATGACTCTACTGTATATTGTGTGCACCCTGCCAGAGCCGCAACTAAGATAGGGCACCCAGGACCTTCTCCCAGTTGCCAAAATTTGATTGGATAATGTTTTATTGAATAATTTGTTCTAGAGGCCACACTCCTTGTCATCTCTACTGCTGGAATGAGAGGAAGAGAATGTAAAGATGGGACAGAGAGAAGGGAGTAGGCTCAGTAGCAGCAGAATCTGGTGGAGAGGGAGAGGGGAAGGGGAAGAGAATGGGCTGCGCTAGTCTTCTGCTGCAACTACAATGGCCCAAGCACCAAAGGAAATTGGGAGGGGAAGGTGGGAGCAGACGATAGATTAGAAGTGGGCCTTCTCCACCAAGATCTGGGGACACAGCAGAGAGGGAGGGTGGTATGAGGGGAAGAGAGCCTTTGATGGGGTCTGTATCATGAGGACTGGGGCAGGTACAGACTGCATATACAGTGTGCTGGTGCAAGTTCTCCATGTGGAGGAAGATCAGGAGCCTGCTTCCAGTAGGGGAGTGACGCACTGATGCATGTACCAGTCCCCTCGTATACACACATGTTACTCACCTCCTGGCAAAGAGGTGATGCACTCCAGATGAGGAAGAAGACATACATTTTTAAACATGGCCACCATGTGGAGTTGTTCTCTGGGGTAGTACTGGTAATGTCAAAAAAGAAGGGGAGAGAGAAGAAGAAAAAGAAGAAGGAGGAGGAGGAGGAGGACAAGGGAGGGAGAAAAGAAGGAAGGAAAGAAGGAAGGAAGGAAGAAGGAAGGAAGGAAGGAAGGAAGGAGGAAGGAAGGAAGGAAGGAAGGAAGGAAGGAAGGAAGGAAGGAAGGAAGGAAAGAAAGGAAGAAAGAAAGAAGGAAAGAAAAAGGAAGAAAGAGAAGCAGAGGAAGAACAATAAAACATTTTTAAAAGTACATAAAGACCTGCAGAAAGGCATTGAAAGAAAAGGAAAAACAAGCAGGGACATCTTCAAAGTCACCAGTGAATTTTGTTACATATTTTCTTTTTTAAAGGATGCAGTACAGAATAGAGATTCATGACACCTGAGATGTTTTATCATAAGGAGGACACTAGAAAGCCTTCCCCAGGTTCACTGGGCCAGCAGCTACTCAAACCATGTTCACAATATATTTACTTTTACCAGACAGCAAATATATTAAACAAAACTTTGGCAGAAAGCTCACAGTAAAAATATATTTTTTAATGCCTACAACCTAATAATGGCATTTATTAGTAATGATTAATAATCATGAATTTATTGTAAAATAAAAGACATTTAATCAAGCAGACTAGCAAATAAAGTGAGGGGAAAGATCTTCCTATGCGCACATGGGATGTATTTTAGTCACCACACATATCAATGGGAAAAGGGAATGGAATAAACATCTGTTAAACTCCTATCATGTGCCAGGCACTGGGCTAAGCACTTTACAAATATCATCTCATTTAATCTTATAATAGCCCTGGGAGGTAGGTGCTATTATTATCCCTATTTTACATATGAGGAAACTGAGGCAGATAGAAGTTAAGTGACTTGCCCAGAACCTCACAGCTACTAAGTGTCTAAGGCTGGATTTGAAATTGGGTCTTTCTGAATCCAGATCTAGCATTCTATCCATTGAACTGAATTCAATGACCTCTAAGGTCCCCTCAAATTCTAGATCTATGATCTATGATCCCATGAACCTCATTTATAACGAGATCCCATCCCCTCACTAAGCCTTCATCCCGCCACCAAGTCCCCTACACCCTCACAGAGCCCCATTCTCTGAGTCTCTAGCTCAGAGGCGGTGAACTTGCAGCCTCAAGGCCACATGTGGCCCTCTAGATCCTCAAGTGTAGCCCATTGGACTTCACAGAGCAAACCCCAGGTCTGTTCTTTGAAGTTGGGAATCAGTCAAAGGATTGCACCTGAGGATCTAGAGGGCTACATGTAGCCTTGAGGCTGCAAGTTCCCCACCCTAGCTCTGCCTTTTCACTGAGATCCCCCTCCACTCTCTGAGCCCATGTATACATTTATCGAACCTTCACTGGCAGAATCAGCAGTAGTCCCCCATACCTAGAATGCTCTCCCTTCTCGCCTCTACCTACCGCCATCCCCGGCTTCCTTCTAGTCCCAACTAAAATCTCCCCTTCTACAGGGAGCCTTTCTCACCTCCCCTGAATTCTAGCGGCTTCCTTCTTAATTGTTTCCTGTTTATCCTGTATAGCTTGTTTGTAAACATGGGTGGTAAAGCATGGTGCGGCAGACTGGAGTAAAGGCCATTGAGCATTCTAGCTCACTCACTTGATGCTTATTGGACAAGTGACTTCATTCTCTGAGTCTCAGCCTCTTCATCTATAGAATGAGGGGATTGGACCAGATGACCTCTGAGGCCCCTCCAACTCTGTACCTTTGATCAGGTCCAGCTCCCAAGGGCAGACTCTGCATCTTCTCCTGCTCTCATGGCCCACCACACCATCGGGGCCAGTGCAGAGTACACAGTAATCCTTCCCTCAAGAAATGCTAATTGATTGATACGGAGACTGATAGGCCACTCACTACCTGATGCAGAGAAACAAAGCTGTCTATGTGGATCGATGTTCCCAGTGCCCAGAACTGGCCCTTGAGTCACCACTGCCAAGGGCCTTGACCGGTAGCACCATGTTGGCCCAGGGCCTCTCTCAGGAAGCGAGGGGTGGAAGCAAAGCCAGGTGCCTAATCAGTTTTCACCTGACCCTTTTCTCAGGTTGCCCAGACAACTGGGGGCCTTGAGAAGGTGTTGACAGGGGAAGAAAGAAGTCACATGCCCCCCTTCCCTTGTTTCCTTGGCAGCAGGCCTCCAGATCAAATAAAAAATCCTGTACTTGGCATTCAAAGCCCTTCCTGACCTAACCTCTCCTATCTTTCCAGTCTTCTCACTCCTGACTCCCACCAGGAACTTTTTGATCCAGTGATACTGGTCTCCTTGCTGTTCCATGAACAAGACACATCCCTGGGCTCCAGGCATGTTCTCTGCCTGTCCCCCATGCCTAGAACGCTCCTCCTTCTCATCCCCGCCTCCTGGCTTCCCTGGCTTCCTTCTAGTCCCAACTAAAATCTCCCCTTCTACAGGGAGCCTTCCTCAAATCCCCTGAATTCTAGTGGCTTCCTTCTTAATTGTTTCCTATTTATCCTGTACATAGCTTGTTTATAAATATGTGTTTGCTCATTGTCTTCTCCATTAGACTGTCAGCTCCTTGAGGGCAGGGACTGTCATTTGCCTTTTTTTGTATCCTCAGCATTTAGCAC